TTAAAGAAATGAATGGGTTCATGTGTGAGCATTTACACAATAGCCATGTGTGTGTGTGTGTGACAAACATTCATGGTTAATACTAAGCAGCGCTATTCCACTTTCCTTGGGCCTTGGAATCAGCCTGAGTAACTCAGCCAGACCCAAAAGCCCCTTAAAAAAAAGATTTGTTAAAATGCTAATAAGTAAAATAAAAACTTTAAACCCGAAACAAAACTAAAAACATGTAAGGAATCCAAATAAGCTGAAAAGAATATAACAAATTGGATTAGAAAATATGTTTAGGGTTGGAGATTCCAAATAAATTCCAAAAACATATATAAAAAAATAGGGCATTTGACAATAAAAACTCACAAACCATTGTAAAGCATATCCAAATTACATATACATAAATTGATCCCACCAGTTTATATAATTCTTATGTTTTTTTCGTTCTTTAATGTACCCTAGAACTAAGGCAAGCCAAAATCTGATAGAACCAATGCCATGAACTAGAAAGAAGAATTGATAGATGTAAAATTCATGAAACCATCAAATCCAGACAGTCCAAAAGAGGGGCCAGGAAAGACAAGAGAAATGACATATAGGTGTTGTCAATACGAGTTGACCTTTGTTTTGCATGGCATCTCTTCAGGGTGTGCATCCTTGTTGAGGCTTTGTTGAACCTCATTTATAGTCCAAAAATTTCATATATTCACTTCTTGTGTTTCGTGAATAAGTTTATTGAGTTTAGTTGGAATGCAACAAACCGAGTTGTATGGAGCAGTCTTACTCTCAAAATCCCATAAATTTCTCTCTAATACTTTATCTAGAAAGAAAAGATGGGGATGAGAGATTAGGATGCATCTAACCTTGCTATGTGTACATAATTTACAAGGAGATATTAAGTGAGAGGCTGAAAGCTGTAATGGCCATGAACCTATAGAACCCAAAAAAAAACCTTCAAAATCCAAACTACAACCCAAACAAATGTCACAACACAAAAACCAAAGAAATCTATGTAAACCATACAAAAGAGAGCTTTATCAGAAAGCCACCTTTCTGTTGGTGGTATAAGACCAAGGTGCTAGATACGCAATCTTTTAGAAAACTTTTTGATTTTATTAAAACTCAAGGGTTTAAATTTATGAATATCTCAATAGAAAACCACAATACATAAATTCCGGCCCTCAAGTTTGGTTTATACACATTTGAATAATAAAACTTCAACCCTAATAGGTCCCTTACAAATCTTTTACTCAAAAATATAATTAAACTCCATACAATGTCCAAATACTCACAATGTACATTGCTACGACATATTACATGACTTGCACTCAAAATTCCTCGTTATATCAAAATTACATGATAATTTCATCTTCATTCTACATCCTCATCATGTATAACAATGTTTCATACACATCATACATTTGATCATAATAATCCAATGAGATTTCAATTCACATAAACAACTAAGCATAGCATTAAAGTTCATACCACAAGCTTAAAGAACAATCTTAGCATTCACATAACATACTCAATTCTATCAATTGTAAATCACTAAGGGACTGTTTGATAACACCCCAATATTGTGATATTATAAGACAATATAGAATCTAAAGAAACTCTTAATTTTATAAATTTACATGCCTTGTTTGATAGAGTCAAAGCATATCTTTTGAGATTCAAATAACGCCCAAAAATCCGAATATCAATCCGAATTTTGCGGCATTCAATTTCCACATCAAAATTTTTGCATGCGTCTTTCCCCCAACAAAGATCCTACCTCTCTCTGCCGAGATGAAAAAGCAGCGGCAAGCATGCCAGGAATCCTTCCTTTCTCTCTCTAGAAAACCCAATTTTGAACATAGGCTACTCCCCCCTATTTGTTCTTGGGGCCCCTTCTCCACCACTAAATCTCAGACCCCAATAGAGCTCCTGCTCATCTCTCTCTTCTCTACACTCATGCCTTTTTTCTCAATCCTGTACCTCGATTCCAAAAAGTCCCCATTGCTTAACCTCTTAAGATTTCCAAAACCTCTAAGCTTGGGTAGGCTGATTAACATGGGCATGAGCTCGAATATTGTGTTAAAAAGGTATATATTTTTTGTGGGGTTGTTGAAGAAGAGGAGGTTTGAAGAGTGGAGGTCGTTGCAGAGATTGTAAATGGTGACCATGTGAGCAGCTGCAGAGATTAGGTGTTGGAAACCAGGGCTTGTGAAAAGGGCATGGGCATGCCTTGCCCCCCTGAGAGAGAGTGGTTGAGTTGAGAGAGAACGAGATAGTGCAAGAGTGTGCAAGAGTGTAGGCAATTGGGCCTATAGAGAAATAGCTCATGGAATTTGAGTTAAAGATTGCCGTTCGAGAAGTGACCTTTTTTTATAAGGGTCTAAATCTTCATCATTACCATTACACGACATGTACACTAGATAGTTATCCTGAAAGTGGTTCTTTTTTGATAAGGGTCTAAATCTTCATCATTACCATTGCACGACATGTACATTAGATAGTTGTCCTGAAAGTGGTTCTTTTGGATAAGGGTGTGTGACATATATATGTGTAGAAGTGATGACTCCCTGCAATACTAGACTGGGTTGGAATGACCCATGGAGCATATTGTTGAAATGGGGCATGGAGTTGTCCTCAAGGACGGACTTGTAATCTATGGTTTAGAATCGTATCTTCTTCACTTTATTGGTTGAATTTGATAGTCCAATCATGAACCCTTGTCAGAGGTTGTGGGTCATGGCAACTATTGGGTCAGTTTGATAAGGTATAGTGAGATACGGTCTTTAGAGATGATAAGTCCTCAATATATTTGTCATACTCCTAACTCTATGGATCCTTCACATCAAATTTTCTTAGATATGTTTAAATATGTTAATTATGTTTTGGATAATTAAAAAAAAAAATTAGACCTCTCTAGGTATTTTATTTTATTGAGAAATTAATTTTAACTAAGAAAAATCAATTTCTAGATTTATTTTAATCAGAAAAAAAAATAAAATATTTTGAGATTTTATAAAATTATTTTATTATTTAAAATTATGTTTAAAGTATTTTGGACCGATTGGGGTACATTGGGCCCACCATATTATGGGACGTAGGCCCCACATGGCTACCCTATGGGTGGTGTGCCCCACCTCCTCCAAACTTTTATGCCATATGTTGACTTGATATTTTAGGAAATCTTTTGTGCAGAGATTTTGATTGATTTCAAAATAGGGAGGTGTAAGAAATTAATTGTGATTCATTTCAAAATAAGAAGATATAAAGAAATTAATGTGATTGATTTATTACTTTCTCTACATAATATTTGTTGGGAATGGAGTTATGGAAACTGAGGGATAATGGTTCTACCTCATCCTTTTAATCTTAATGGCTGATCTAAGGGATGAATGTGTGAGATCTCTTCACCCGACATATCTCCAAGATCAAAAGTCAAGATTATGTCTCACAAAGATGACAAAACCCTAACCTCATGAACCCTGACCTTTATTCTATATAAACTGGCTATGGGTGGGGCTCATTCTCTACACTTGATCTCTCTCTCTCTCTCTCTCTCTCTCTCTCTGTGTGGGTGTGTGTGTGCTTGAAGGACTGACACGCCACTCTCTAAATATCTCTCTCTTCTTCTTCTCCAAACTTTAGGGTTTAGGAAGGAAAACTAAGCCAAGGGGTGGCATGCTCAAGCCACATACCCTAGTCCTAGGTCTTGGCCTCATGTTCATGTGTTGAGCCTTGGTCAAACATATATTATGTTATGCTCTCTACTGGTTTTTGCCTAGGCATTCCAAATTTGTGAGACAAATTTTTGGACTTAGATCCCGTGTGCCATTGGTGGAGGAGACCCGGTGGGGGGTGTGCTAAGTCTTTGGGGGTAACCTAAGGCAATGTATAAGGTATTCTCTTAGTTTATGTTTTTTTGATTCTATTGCATCTTTATTTCTAGATCTGTATTTGGAACGTATTTTAATTTTAATGGGAAGCAAGTGAGAGTTCTTGGCAATTTTATTTGGTTCATATTGTATTAGGACACTTGTGAGTGATTTAGGTGGCAATACAATAAGAAGAAATAGAAGCATGTTAATTGGGCATGTAGGGCTCCGGCAAAGGGATTATAGGTTACCACAGTTACCCTTCTCTTTTAATGATGTGTCTATTAAAAAAAAAAAACCAAGGAGAACATTTCTTAAGTATTTAAAAACCAAGAAAACAGTGGTAAGATAGAAATAATTGCAGATGAGCCATCAGTATTATAAAGTTCGATATTGCCACTGTGATTTAGAAAATTTGGAAAGCCATCAATAGTTTTAAAAGAACTAGGAAGAACTAACAAAACCAAGACCAGTTCTCAATAACTTGTTCAATACATTTTTCAGAAGGTAAATATAGTGGCAAATGAGTTGGCTAACTCGGAATCGGATGCATCTAAGAATACGTCATAGCTATATGAAACCATAGTTTGTAGTCTTTTTTTCTCCATGAAGAAACTTTCCTTATAGTCAAGTATCTTTATTAACAAAAAAAAATAAAAAAATAAAAAACCACTAAATGGCAGAGGCTTGTCAATTTTAAAAGGTACAATCCCTGAAAGTTCACAGATATGTTGCCAGTAAGGAAACAGAACAAATACTACTCTAAAATTGATAGATACCACCCTTATGTTTCCAAACCAACCCAACTCTGAATGACAATTACATCTGATTTGGATAAAAAAACAAGGAAAAATAAAGGTTCCATCTCCCATCTTGAAAATAACATGTCCTCTTAATACCAGTGAGCCCTATATTTGCACAAGTTCACATGTTGATGCTCCATTTCTCATTGCATGCAAGAAAAGAATTATAAAAAGAGAATATATCCTAAGGTAAATATGCATTACCGAGAAAAGCATCATGCATCTCTTGTTTTATGTTTCATCTTCTACCAAAAGACTTGACTATTTTCACTTTAGACTCCCTTGTTTAAGATGAAGCCTTCTAACACATATTGACATCCAGCAGCAAGCCACACTCATGAGCATGCATATTACCCTACACATCCCATGGCAACAAATGTTCATAACTTCACATGGTTTGGTCCAGCAATAGCATGGTTAGTGCTTTAGAATATTGAAACATACAAAGTGTCCATTCAGTCTAAACACTAAATATTAACTGCAGCTCATCTTCATTTCACAGGGAAAGCAACGAGACGAGGACTTACCAACAAAAGAAAAGAAGAATAGAGAAAAATGAAATTAAGGCATCCATTGATACCAAAGGAATATCGAGAGACTCGACCTAGCCACTTGGAAACTCGAAATGCATCCCGCGCTGTACACACGAGATTGTGAGGCACTGAACACCTCAGCCACTATGGTAAATAGTCAGGGTGAAAGGGGGCCCCCTTGGTGGAGCCCTTTCGAAGCATGAAAGTAACCCTTAGATGTGCCATTAATAAGGTCCGAAAATTGGGGTTTTGAAATACCCACCATAAAGAGCCAAATGGAATTCTGGACAAAGTCTCATCAATAATTTCCCAGTCCACATGATCATAAGATTTTTTATTACCAAGCCAGAGATTTTTGCACTACAACGGGAATGTACGCATTCATGTGCTATTAGAGCCCCATCGAGAATCTGGCATTCCTTCACAAAGGTCCCTTGGGATGATAAGATCACCTGACCAAGGACACGTTTAAGGCGGGAAGCCAGGCCCTCAAGAGAATTTTGTAGGAAGTATTAATCAGACTAATCGGTATGATGTCTTTAAGCTCTTCTGCTCTCTCTTTCTTGAGGATCTTGGTAATTCATCGCCTTATGGATAGTGGCTCGAGAGTGAAATTCAGAAAAGAAAGCCATGATATCAATCCTAAGGGTATCCCAAAAGACTTCGAAGAGGGCTATGGGGAAGCTGTCAGGGCTGAGGGTCTGGTCTCCATTGAGATCTTTAATGGCCTGGAGTACTTTGTCCTCTTAAAAAGGGCTTTTCAAAGAGGCTGCAGATAAAAGAGATATAGAAGAGAAGGAGACGTCCGCCATTTCTGACCTAGGACCAGAAGGGGAAGAGAAAAACTTGGAAAAATATTTGACAGCAGCTGCCTCAATGAGATTGGGATGGTCAACAATCTGGTCCCACACCTTGAAGTGGGTAATAGAGTTCTCCCTTCTTCAACAGTTGGCTATCTTGTGGAAGTAAGCTGTATGGGAGTCTTTTTGGTATCATAAGTTTCCAGGGAGCTGTGAACTCCATGATTTCAGGAAAAATTTGAGCATTTGAAGCTTTTTCTACAAGATAAAACCGGCCCACCCATTCACGAGGGGGGAGAAGGACTCCCAATGGTTACAGACAAGAGAGGGGAAGCCGGGCTCTTAGAGCCAAGACAACTCAAAGCGAAAAGGCTTAGGCCCCCGAGGAAGGGACTGGGTATGAAGTGGGCTTCGGAAGCACCAGAGAGTGGGTGCCAGGGAATTCATGATCCCACTCAAGAGGGGTTAGAAATCTATCTAATTTTGAGAGGCTTGGATTAGCCGAATGGCTAGACCAACGGAACTCCGCTCCTTCCAACAGGATGTCTAGAAGACTGTTATGAGCTAAGACATCAGAGAACTGTACCATTGAAGGGGCAGTTTTGTCGTAGGAATTACGTTCATGAGACCATCTGGTGATATTCAAATCACCTCCTACGCACCACTAAGAAAACGGGAGGGTCATCAAAGATTGTAACTCTCTCAATACGGCCAATTTCTCGTTGTCTTCTTGTGGCCCATAAATCACAATGCACTTCCAATAGAGGAAATCAGTGATCCTAGCTAGGGTCACTATGATAGAACTTGCCAATATGAGAGGCAACTAAGGCATGTTGAGATGGGACCCAGATACCGCCAGAAGGTCCGATTGCATCCAGAGCTAACCATTGGTAGGGGAAAACCTGGTTTCCACCAAACCAAGAAGAGAGGGAGAGTGGGGGAAGGAAACCTGGTTTCCTTCACTGAGGTTCAGCAGGCGTGCCTCTTGATCTGCCACAAAGTTGTGTGTAGCCCCGGTGTCTACCATAGCCTTAAGGTTTTTCATTGATAGACACTTCCACATTCATAAGCTCACGTGCTTGGGGCTTGACTGTCTTCACTTGCCCCTTCAATGAGCAGCCTTAGAGCCCTCATGAGTTTTTCCAGTGTAACGACTACGACCATAAAGAAAACGGACATAAAGAAAAGGGAAATGCTGGAGATTATGGCCTTGATAAGGGTCACTCTGCAGCCTGGTGAAAGGACTCTCCCTTTCCATGAAGCAGGTGCCACTCGACTTTGTCTATAACCAGGCTCCATAACTGGATTCGATGAAGGCCAATGCAAGATGGAAGGCTAAGATAGGATGAGGGCATTGGCTCTACAACACATCCCCATGAGTCAGTGAAGCATTTGACTATGGCTTGGTCAAGGCAGATTCCTGTCATCTTAGTTTTTTCTAAGTTCACCTTAAAGCTCGTAGCCAACTTGAAGCATTGGAGGAAGAGCAATAAACAACTAACTTTTTTAAAAAACGCATCGCAAAAAAGGAGGGTATCATCGACATATTGGAGGTGGAATATAGAGAGACCCGACCTACCCACTTGGAAACCCTAAATGCGTCCCGTGCTGTACACACGAGATAGTGAGGCACTGAACACCTTAGCCACTATGGAAAATAGGAACTGTGAAAGGGGGTCCCCTTTGCGGAGCCAACTCAAAGCATGAATGTAACCATTAGATGTGTCATTAATAAGGTCCAAAAATTGGGGTTTTGAAATACACCCTTGGATCCATCTCCACCATAGAGAGCCAAATGGAATTCTGGACAAAGTCTCATCATCATAAGCTTTTTGATTACCAAGCCTGGGATTTTTGCACTATAGCGGGAATGGATGCATTCGTGTGCTATTAGAGCACCATCAAGAATCTGACGTTCCTTCACAAAGGTCCCTTGGGAAGATAAAATCACCTGACCAAGGACACATTTAAGAGAATTTTGTAGGAAGTATTAATCAGACTAATGGGTTTGAAGTCTTTAAGCTCTTTTGCTCCCTCATTCTTGGGGATCTTAGCAATGAAAGTGGCATTCATCGCCTTATGGATAGTAGCTCGGGGAGTGAAATTCAGAAAAGAAAGCCATGATATCAGTCTTAAGGTTATCCCAATAGATTTTGAAGAGGGCTATGGGGAAGCTGCAGAGCTTTAATGGCTTGGAGTACTTTGTATTCCTAAAAAAGGCTTTCCAAAGAGGCTGCACATTCGTGAGAAATAGAAGAGAAGGAGAAGTCCGCCATTACTGGCCTAGGACCAGAAGGGGAAGAGAAAAGCTTGGAAAAATATTCGACAGGCACTGCCTCATGAGATTGGGATTGTCAACAATCTAGTCCCCCACTTTGAAGTGGGTAATAGAGTTCTCCCTTCTTCGACAGTTGGCTATCTTGTGGAAGTAAGTTGTATTTTGGTTTCCAAGCTTGAGCCATTTGACTTTGGCCCGTTGAGCCAATAAATTTCTTCTTTCTTTAGGAGGAACTGGTAATCATATTTGTGGATGGATCGAGAATCCAGATGAAGGGGAGGGAGGTCTAAGTTCTTCAATGGTGTCTCAATGTTGAATAGACCTCAAAAGGGAGTCTTTTTGGTATCAGAAGTTTCCAGGGAGCTGAGAACTCCATGATTTCAGGAAAACTTTAAGCATTTGATGCTTTTTCTTCAAGATAAAACCGGCCCACCCATTCACTAGGGGGGAGAAGGACTCCCATTGGTTACAGACAGGAGAGGGAAAGCTGGGCTCTTAGAGCCAAGACAGCTCAAAGCGAAAAGGCTTAGGCCCTGGAGGAATGGACAGGGTATCTAGCAAGATAGGTCTATGATTTGAGGCGGGCTTGGGAAGCACCAGAGAGTGGGTGCTAGGGAACTCATGATCCCACACGAGAGGGGTTAGAAATCTATCTAAATTTGAGAGGCTTGGATTAGCCGAATGACTAGACCAACTGAACTCCGCTCCTTCCAACAAGATGTCTAGAAGACTGTTATGAGACTATCTAGTGATATTAAAATCACCTCCTACGCACCACCTAGAAAAAGGGAGGGTGGAATAGATGGCAAAGGATGGGCTTCAATGAGGGCTCGTGCATGAAGGCATATGGTGAATAGGCTGGGTAGGCCTCGACATCAAAGCTAATTAGGTGAGGAAAAGGTGGCAACAAGGTTGGGACATGGGGGGAGAGAAGAGGAGGAGATGAATTAGTAGGAAAATGGTGAGGAGGACTAATGAGGTTAGGGGAGGGCATACAAAGAGGGGGTGCAGGAGGAAGGGGTTGCAAGCCTAGGATTGCATAGAGAAAGGGTGGAGAGAGAGAGGGGAGGAAATGGTGATAAATGGTTACAAGATCACTTATAATGGAAAATACCACCAGAGACTACAATAAACAGAGAATTCCCAAATTTCACGAACTGAGCTTTCAGTTATTTAGATATTCCTCCAGCCTAAGGGGATCAACAACATAGAATAACAATATTAAATAGTACCTGTACAGCAAGCAACCAAGTCTCTTGTAGCAAAGCTGAAAATATGCCTGAAATGCTTGAACAGCCAAGCCTCCACAGCTGGCGTAACTTATTGTTCTGTTCATCCAACATGGCATTATGTCAAACATGAGCAAGTGCTGCTAGGGTAAATCCCAGCTCTACCACCTACAAAAAATTACATTGATTTAAAAATAGAGATAACTGAGAAACCATCTTGTTTAACAAAACAAACAACAAATATCTATAATGCAGCTAGCAAAAGGCAAACAAACAGTACATAAAGCCTCATTTTCCATATTCAAGGGCTACATATACTTTTGTGGTCCATGTTCAAAATAATGACTAATCCCAAAGTTTCATTTTATATTTTTATTTTTTAGAGATGAGAGTAGATTTTTATTTTTTATTAGAGTTCATTTTTTAAATATAGGATTAGTAGGGATTTGTTTAGTTATAGATTAATAAAGTCAGTATTTTAGGACGTATCTTTTTTTAGAAAAGATAAGAGTAAGACTTTAGTTTGTTTTAGTGTCCGTATTTTCTAGGTGGGTTTTTATTTAGGAAAGTTACATTATTTCTTTTGAGTCTTTGAAACAAAAAGGTAAGTACAATGGAGTTAGCTTGGGAGGAAGGTTATCTTTTAGTTCGTTTAGGAAAGTTTATTATCTTTTAGTTCGTTTAGGAAAGTTTATCTCTTGTATTAGTTTGGGGGTACAAGGTGTTTATCATTAGTTTTTAGGAAATATATTTTGTTTCCTAATTTAAAGGGAGTGTTATCTTTTTGTGCTTGGTTGAAACTAGGGAAAATAATGAATCCCGTAGGTGGAAAGGATGAAGTAGGAAGTTGTAGTAATCTTTTAGGAAGTTGGATGGAAGAATATGGAAAGAATCTAGAGATAGATTTATTTTGGTTAGTTATCATTTTCAGTTTTTTGTAGGGAGATATATTAGGGGTTATCTTTTGAGAGTCACGTGAGAAGGTGATTTAAATGTATAAAAGGAAGCATGCATCATGTAAAAAGAGATTGAATTTTGATTAATAAAGAAAGAGTTTTCTTGGAGAGAGAGAGGGGCCCCTTTGTGGGTGTGTTTTCTTCTCTTGTGCTTATGGGCCCATGTTGGGATACTCGTATCCGCGTTTTGTTCTTTTTTCTTGTAATTTCCTTCATGGTTTTTATCTCTCTTAAACACTAGTGTGCTATAGTAATATGGGATGTTTTTTATCAAAAAACAAACCTTCCTCCAAAACAAACACGCCCTAAGGGTAACATATAGGTGGAGAGAGAGAGAGAGAGAAGTGAGAGAGAGAGAGAGATTTATCACTCTATTTGATTAATGGTGGATAGGGAAAAGGGAGTAGATGTACAACGTACTCTAGTGAGAATAAGAATCTTTTTGGCTTCGAGAATGGTGTTGGGGTCGTGGTGGTAGCACGACTTGTGCCCCAGTTAAGGTCTAAGCTTACATTCTCACCTAACGCATTCAAAAACGGGTAAGGGCTCGTCATCCCCACTGAATTACCCAAAAAAAGAAAAAAAAAAAAGAATCCTTTTCACTTTAATATTTACTTTTTAGATATTTAAATAGGTTTTATTTTTGACAATTTTATATTAATAAATTTTGTCCTAATTTTTATTGTGTTTTCTCTTTTCACTTTCTGACTCGGCTCAGCTTATATCGGTCAATTTCGTCTAAATTTGGCTCGGAATGGCTCGTCTAAGTTAAAATACTCTTTAACTGAACTAGTATTAGCCGAGCTGAACTGAGTTGAGCCATTAAAAGCTGAGTCGAGCCGAGCCGAGCCAAGCAAAAATCAGCCGAGATAAGGGATAATTTCTAAAATATCAAAATTAAAAAAAGGGTCCACAAAAAAATCACAAACGCATTAAATTCAAAAATATACTTCGGACTTTTCTAATTGGGTTATAAAAAGGGAGAGAAGCTTGAATTTTACTGCAATTGCATAGGAAGAGCTAAGTTGCAAACATGCTTAAAGTAGTTCCATGGCTTTGTTCTAGTTTGCTGGGTTTTCAAGTTCAGGGGTCAACATATTGAAGCCCTGCCTCTCTCTAGAAATCCATGCCTCTAACTACAACAATAACAATGATAAGCAAGCCTTGAGAGAGAGAGAGGAGCATACCTCTCAAAGTAATGCATGAGAGAGAGAGAGACGAGCGTACCTCTCAAAGTAATACATGTGATGTGATGAGATAGAAAGAGGAGCGAACCTCTCGAACCACGTAATGATAAGAGGACCTTCACCCTCTCCTTAACAAAACCCTAAAAAGGGTAGGGTTTAGGATTTAAGGTATTACGGTTTAGGGTTTAGGATTTAAGGTATTAGAGTTTAGGATTTATGGTATTAGGGTTCAGGGTTAGAGTTTAGGGTTTAGGATTTAAGGTATTAGGGTTTAGGGTTTAGGGACTAATGTGATCCCCACTAGAGGTAGAGTAAAAAACTTTGGCGGAATTATGTCCTCTACTTCTTCAACATGAAGCTATGAACCCCTATAAAAGGACGGGAAAACAATAAGGTGTGAATTCTTATGATGTTTTGCTTGCCAACAAAAGTATTCAGCTCCTTGAAATTGTTTTTGTGAAGGTAGAGGCAGAAGAAGAAATCAAAGAGGATGTGTTGGATGTGGTAGAGGTGGACTTTATGGAAATACTACTAGGTGCAGCATCCTACATCCACCTAACCATAATAGCATTAGGAGTTCCAATCTGGGGATTTTTGATACAGTGTGTCAGATCTGTGGAAGGTGTAATAATAGAAATCATGTAGATACCCAAGACCATAATATGGGAGCAGCCAGCATGTTGCTCTAAATATTTTTGTAGAGAATCTCGCCATTACATCTCCTTCTGAAGCTGCATCGATTGTTGATAGTGGTACAACCAACCATTTGACAAGAAATCCAAGTATATTCTCCTCCCTCGTCCCTTACTCCGGTAGTGGGTCTATTTTAAATGGATATGGGTCCTCTCACCATATCACACATGTTGGGAATGTTTACTATTCAGTCATTTAATAGGCATATCAATTTCCAAAATGTTTTCCTCGTCCATAATTTCAAAGGTAATCTTATTTCTATGTCACAACTCACTAGAGAAAATCATGTCTTCTTTGTATTTACTCGTGATTGTGTTTTATTGAACGACCAACTATCGTGGATCACATTTGCTAGCGGTTCACAATGTGGGGGGTTCAACATAGTTGATGATGAGTCAAAGAAATTCTAAACTCTGGTTGTGTCTTGTCAAGCCAATAAAGATGCCAATGAATGGCATCATAGATTAGGTCATTGTAGTATGGAATCTCTAAATAAGTCATGTAAACAAGGGCTCATATCCTCTGATATTGATCATTATGAGTTTATTTGTCATGGCTGTCTAGTGGTATTGTTTTTAATACTAAAAGAGCTTCTTTGCTGTTTGAGTTAGTGGATTCTGACATATGGGACCAAGCGCAAACTGCATCTCCTTCTAAATCCCTCTCATATGTGATATTTTTTTATGACTTCTTCATATTTACAAGGTTCTTTCATTTCAAGTTGTTTGTTGAAATGCACTTTTGTAGGCAACTTTTATACTTTCATAGTGACAATGACAGAGCAACAAGTTTCCTATCCTTGGACAATGGGTAGAGCTACAAGTTTCCTATCCTTATACTGTATAACAAAATGAAATGGAGGAAAGGGAACATAGACATAAAAATGAACTTGGATTATCCCTTATGTTTTCCACTCAAGGTCTAAAGTTGTTATGGACTGAAGCTGTCCATACAGCCATATTCTTGATAAATAGACTTCTAATTGATGTACCGAACAGAAAAACTCCATATCACACACTACTTGGAAGAACTCCTGAGTATTCTATCTTGAGAAGTTTTGAATGTTGATGTTATGTCCATTGATAGTAGCCTAAGGTATAACTTGATCCTAAAGCAGTGTCATAGTCTTAACAATTTCATTAATGAAAGATACCTAAATTTAAGAATATACAATATGTCGGAGAGAGAGAGAGAGAGAGCAATTAGTTTGAAAGAGAGATGTTCAATGTATTTTCATATGTGAGAGAGAGACTAGCCCGTTATCTTTATACGTGAGAGAGCGACTAGCCCGTTATCTTTGTATGTGATATAGCGAGTGGCTCGTTATCTTTGTTTAATGGCATGAGTGTGTACATTCGTGAGAGAGAGAAATGTCCAATGTTCTATTTGTGTGTGGAAGTGAGAGAGAGAGAGAGGCCTAATGTGTCTACGAGAAAAAAAAGACACAAAAATGACAATTGGTATTACAAAATTAGTACAAAAAATCACAAAAATCTCCCTCATTTCTTCATCAAAAATCACAAAATGAGCATAGTTTTTTTGTAAAAGTACTGTATCAAAATTAGTATAAAAATTAGTATCCAAAAGATATCAATAAACACTCGTCTAAGAAATGACTGCTCAATATTCACATCCTTTATTTTTATTTTATTTTATGTTTTTCAAGGGGTGGCACTAGGTGGCGCGCAGATCCACCTAGGAGCCTGCCTTAGGCATGCCCGTCCAAACCTCACCGCTTAGGCTACCTGTGAGCACGATTAAGTTCCAATATAATCCAGGCATGGAGCACTAGAAGGCAATAAAAAACGTTATGCAATATTTGAATAAAACTAGTAATCTTCCATTCACTTATGTAAGAGGCTTAAACATATAGATACAAGGATATTCAAATGTGGACTATCAAGGTGATCCAAATGAGATGAAGGCCACATCCAATTATATCTTCACACTTGCCAATGCAACTGTTTCCTGGTGCACAAAGAAACCGGACATCGTTGCAATCTCGACTACGACGTCACAATATGGCTTGTTGTCTCGCAGCAAAAGAAGCGCTCTCATTGTAGTTCTTGAATCAGCTTAGATTTGATGCAATGAAGTGCCCATGTGTAAGGATCTTTTGCGACAACTTGGCATGATTTGTGCGGCCAAAGAGCCGTATTTTCACAAGAAATCCAGGCAACTTTAGGCAGATTATTACCACATTGGCAACGAGATTCGAAAAACAAAGATTGAGGTTGCTTATATCCCTACAAAGGCTATGTTAGCATATACTTTGACAAAAGGATTGGTAGCCGATGTTTTTGCCAGACAATGTACATGGGATGGGCTTCAG